TATAAGCAAACATAAAATAGCATTACGCCCATCCAGCAACAATACACATACAAGCCAAACGATTCACACATACACACAATACAAACACACGTACACAGGCATGTGTACGTGCGTATACACACAACACACACAAACACATGTGCGTGTGTGTTGTGTGTGTTCATTCACAATGGGATTCGCCATTGTGGTCGAGTTACTCTGCGTGGGATAATTCCCTTGATGTTCGTTGCTTTTGTACAGGACTCAAACTGACCATTGATGATGAAGGCGACAGGATGATGATGATGTTGGTTATGATTGTGATGATGTTGGTTTTGATTGTGATAATGATATTGGTTATGATGCTGTTGATGATGATGATAATGCTGTTGATGTTGATGTTGATGATGATGATGATAATGATGATGATGTTGGTTATGATTGTGATGATGTTGGTTATGATTGTGATGATGATATTGGTTATGATGCTGTTGATGATGATGATGATAATGCTGTTGATGTTGATGATGATGATGATGATGGCTTTGATGGGGATGATGATTTTTTTGTGGTGATGACACACACACATACACACACACAAACATACACACACACACACAATCATATCAATCAATGTGACCTTAGGGGTCTCGTGGCCGAGTGGTTAGCGTGTCTGTCTACCACTTCCACGACCCGGGTTCGAATTCTGCAGTTTTTACAGGTTCATCCGGGTAGCCGACTCCCGGTCAACCCAGCCGTCCATCCTTTCGAGGTTGGTAAATGGGTAGACGACGTAAGTTGTCGCATGTTGGCCGGCGAGATGGCTCAGTGGTTCGAATGCGCAGTGAGTCAAACATCTCAATGGCTATCATACACTCAGCGTATATGATGCGGTGCTTGCGTGTACGTCGTGTGAAAAGGATAAACAAACAGCCTTTGTGGCAAAAGATGGCTGCTTCATATCATTGGTTGAAGATATGAAGAACATAATAAAGATATATAAATGATATATCAGTAACATTGTAAGTGGTTCTGCGTATGTCAGAGCTGCAATAATAAAGACTAATAATAAAAAAATAAAAACCTTTGACTCCAATGTGACTTCCCGCTTGAACCCAAAACCCTCCACCAACTGCGAATGATAATGCTAACAATAATAAATCGTTTGTCTTACATTACCTTCGGCAGTGACAAAGACAGAAAATGGCAAAAATTCAACTTGTAGATATTTTATATTCCAATGTCAATTACTTTTATTTTGTTTTTCTTATTATTATTTGTTTTATTCTAACATATTTTATTTTTCATGTTTTATCATTTTTCTTCCTCACTTTTTGTATTTGTTTTCTTATTTGTTTAATTTTGTTCTACTGCCTTGCATTTTGTTACAGTTTCTGCGTCTGTCAGATTCTGATTTTTAAAAAAATAATGAAAAAAAAATATATTGGCGAGTTTATCCCAACTCGTTTTTACAATTTAGACATTGAAACCAGTTTTTTTAAGACGAATTTGTAAAATGTTGTTGTGGCTGAAAATGGATATTCTGGGTCTGTGTGTTTGTCATTTCATCTGTCTGTTTCTCTGTCTGTCTGTCTGTCAATTTGTCTATCTGTCTGTCTGTTCGTCTGTCGATTCTTCTGTCTGTCTTTGTGTTCGTCTGTCAGTCTACTTCTTTGTCTGTCTGCACAAAAGCAGAAACAACGAAAAATTAATTCAACTCCATAGTTAATTTAGCGCCGATGTTAATGGAACAGTGTTTGGGTTTTTTTTGTATGTTTGTTGCATTCTGAATATAAACAATGGTTTCCAAAAATAAACTTTCAAATTAATAATTGCGCCTGATTTACTGTGTGCATTTTTCTTTGTGTGTGTATGTGTGTGTGTGTTTGTATGTGGTGTGTGTGTGTGGAGGTATGTGTTTTTATCTTTGTATGTGTGTGTGTGTGTGCATGTGTGTAAGATGAAAATTTTACTATGTACAAGTTTTGTATGTGGTTATAGAGCTGGGTGTATTACGTTTGATCCTATGTTTATGTGAGATTGTATTGTATTTCGAAGAGTAGAATATATGTGACTTTTTGATACGTGTGTTTCTATGCTTGCTAGTGGATTTGAGTGTATATGTGATGTGATGTGACCATAAAGGCGTATGAAATTTATGTGTGTGTGCACGTTCTCTCTCTCTCTCTCTCTCTCTCTCTCTCTCTTTCTCTTTCTCTCTCTCTCTTTCTCTCAATATTTTTGAATACGTGTGCGTGTAAATAAATAGATGTATGTGTGTTTGAAATTGCAGGTGGCTTAGTTCAGAATGATTGAATGAATTTCAGATTGGTAAGTGCAAGCATGACAGTGATGACGACGACGATTGTGGTTATGATTATGATTATGACAATCCTGGTAATGATGACTAAGTTGACAATGATGTTGCTTCAACCTTGTCACAATGATACTAGGTAGGACATATTGTTTGATGATTGAATAAAAGTGATTTGATTTGAAGAAAAAAAAACAAATGAATCTTACAACGAAATAGCACAAATGAGAAGCTAGTCACATAAATTTTTCTCAAAAGAGTCATCATCACTGCCCTCGCTACATCATTCAACATTCATACTCATACCATCATTATACCACTAATTATTATTATCACAACCATATAGATAGATATCATCGCGATATCACTGCTATCGTCATATAGATACCATTGTGATATCAATGCTATCATCACATAGATATAATAGTCATCATCATCTTCGTCATCCTCATCAGCGTCATCACGTCAAACCCCAAAGAACAACAGAACAGCAGCAAGCAGACAAAGAAAGAATATTGAGCAGATGTTTCAGATTGGTGGATTGACTGAAGGAATAGCGACGAATGAATGAATGAGCGACACAATGAATGAGTGAATAAGTGACTCAGCAAATAAATGAACGTACGATTGGATGAATGAATGAATGAATGAATAAATGAATGAATGAATGAATGAATGAAAGAAGGGGAAAATGGATGGATGGATAGATGAAGAAATGAAAAAAATTAATAAAGGAATAAATAGCGTACAGATTAATGTATGAAAAAATGATGGAATGATGGAATAGAAGAATAAATAAATAAAATGAACGAATGAATAAATGCAATGATCAATGGAGCAGAACATTAATGCGTGATTGTCCGAAATAAATGAATAAAAAAAGAATAAATGAATGAAAGAATGAAATCACCGAATTAAATGAACAAACAAAAATAAATGAACAAAAGAACAAACGGATGAACAAAGAGAACAGAAAAAAAGTTTGTATGTATAATCAAAATACAATTATTTGAACCAAAAACCAGCACAGAAATGTTATTAGGCTCTTAAATACTTATAAACAAACAAACTTAATTGGAAAACTAATTAGCTATACAAATTAACTTTAACTCTATTGAAATTCAGAAAAAAGAAGATAATTATTAATAACTTATTTAAATTAATAAAACACCAAAATTATACTTATTTAACATTAACGGAATATGTCCTTCAAGCCTACAAAAATAATACATTTAAAGTTAAGTTTACTTTTAAAAAATATAAACATATCTGACGTCACATTGTCATGGCGGTTTAAGGAATAGATAATTGAATTTTATAATAATAATCAGGCTGCTACTGTTCCATTGTAAACAATTTTTCAAATAAGAAATCGAGTATTTTGATATATATCTAGTATTTTCATATTTACTTAGTATTTTGATATACATATATCTAGTATTTTGATATATATTTAGTATATTGATATATCTTGTATTTTTATATATATCTAATTTTTTAATATATATCTAGTTTTTTGATATATATCTAGTGTTTTGATATATATCTAGTATTTTGATACGGACCTGAATTATTTTTTTGTGATAAAAATAGGGTGGTTTGATGTAAATATATTTTAAAAGCCTCTTTAAAGAACTAAATTTATGATTTAATGTTACACGTTAAGCTTTTCATATATTCTTATGAAATTCAACTTTTACATTTAATACATTTAATTTATCAAATTACAACAAAATTTTATTTAAAATTAAGTTTAAATTAAATTTTTGAAATTATATCATTTCAACCAGAATGGAATATAAAATTTTTTGGAATGTGAAAGTGAAACATTGAAGCAATCCACCCCAACCATAATATCTATTCGATTATTTAGATGAAATCCGTTCAAGTTAGGCAACATTCAAAGCCAAAATTGAAAAATTTATCGATCGGCTAATCGGACAAAATGTTTTATCAAAAACCATAAAACCAAAATGGCAAACCTAAAATCGAAAATAAAATTTTTTGTAAAATGAAATTTAAAAAGATGTCGTTTTTTCATAAAAATAAAAAATGTAATTAAAAAATAAACGAAGAGGTGCCCAGCAGTGTGCAAAAAAATTTCTGCAAATGCGAATTAGTGGTGTAATTTTCTTTGGGGTGGGATTTTGAATAGAGGACATCATTAAGATGATCAAAGAAGGTACAGGGTGATTAGGTAATTAATAGGATGGCTGGCTGTTAATCAATAGAAGATCAAATGAATGGTAGGCTGACTGGTTGGTTAGATGGTTGGTTGGTTAGCTGGTTGGTTGGTTGGTTGGTTGGTTGGTTGGTTGGTTAGCTGGTTGGTTGGTTGGTTGGTTAGCTGGTTGGTTGGTTGTATGGTTGGTTAGATGGTTGGTTGGTTAGTTTGTTGTAAACCATTTTTTTGGTAAAAATAAAATTCAAATATAAGTTAAAAACTAAAAACTCTGCCTCTTTCTTCCCTCTTCCTCTCTTCTTTCTCTCTCTTCTTTTTTTACTCTCTCTCTCTCTCTCCTTTTTCTCTCTTTTTCTCCTTCTCTTACTTTTTTTCAAAAATAAATTAATTAATTTTTCTTCTTGGTTTTCCAGTTTCTACACGGATCTTCAAATAATCATTGAATAAAAATAAATAAATGTCAAAAATGAAATAACCCACACACTTAATTATTTTACATATAATCAAAAATTATACGTAAAATATATTTATTTATTTATATAAAATATAAACTTCCGATCCGATTCGCCCAGAGATGACTGACTGATTGCTATGAATCGATCTCTAGGGTTTTGATGTTTATTTTCGCGTCCAACTGGACTTCTTCGTTTGCATGTGTGCGTGCGACCGTGTACGTGTGCATGTTTGTTTGTGTGTGTGGGATTGTGTATGTGTTAGATTGCCTGTGGTTTTATGTGTGTTTGGGTGTGTGTGATTGTGTGTGTGTGTGTTTGTGTGGCTGGTGTTTATTTTTGTGTCAAACTTGTCTGCTGTGTTTGTTTGTTCGTGTGTTTGATTATATATGTCTGTGTGTAGACATTAAACATTGAATTATTACATTGAAACATTGAATTATTACAGCAATGAATAAACACAGTCCAAAAATACCCATGTAAACGATGAAATCCTAAAGGTCCTAAATCCTAATCATTATGGGGCAATAGAACAAAGTTATTGTATCAGCCAAAAAACCACTAAAACACATCAACACAGCCACTGTCATAGAATATCTTCATTAACTCTCTTCCTCTCTCTCTCTTCCTCTCTCTCTCTCTTCATCTCTCTCTCTTCCTTTTTCTCTTTTCCTCTCTCTTCCTCTTTCTCTCTCTCTCTCTCTTTCTCTCGAAATTATTTATTTTATATTTCTCTGATCAATAATTTCACTACTACCAATTGACTGTTACTTGCACAGACAGACATGCAGACAGATACAGACCAGAAATGAACTGGCCCTAATTAATGTCTTTGGAGGAGGAATATTATTATTGTAATTATAATCGATTGTTTATTTATCATCATCACCATCTTCATCATCGTCGTCATCATCTTCTTCATCATCATCATCAATTTCTTCATCATCATCATTATCATCTTCGTCATCATCGTCTTCATCATCATCATTTTTATCACCAATGTCATTTTGTCGTAATTTTTATTTCAATGTTTTTTATTTTCATCCTCATCATCCTTTGTTCAAGTAACCTATTTTTCATTCATTCATTCGTTCATTCATTCGTTCATTCATTCGTTCATTCATTCGTTCGTTCTTTCGTTCATTCAATCGTTCATTCGTTCGTTCTTTCGTTCATTCAATCGTTCATTCGTTCATTCAATCATCCATTCATTAGCTTATTTTAGCAATCAATCCCAATCCCTCCATCAATCCATCCATCCGCATATCACATCTGACATTTATTATTGTTTAATTTCTATATATGAACGTTAATTAATTTTCCACGCTGAGAATGGTGATGATGATGATGACACACACACACACACACACACATACACTTGCGCGCGCACATACAAACTCACACGCACACACACTGCACATGCATTTTTATGTAATAATGTTATTTGTATATAGTCGGTGAGTTAGCTCAGATAGTAGGTGTATCGTTTGTGGGGCTTTTAATTCTCATTGGCCTGGTTCGAGGGCAGCCTGCGCAAAACAAATCAAAATACTTGAAGGAATGTTTAAAGAATATTGGAAAAAGTAGGAAAATGAGTTGTGTATGTGTGTGTCTATGTATGTATGCATGTGTGTGTTTGTGTGTATATGTGTGTGTGTCTGTTGTGTGTGTGTGTAGCAAAAGGATTAATTAAAATGAAATAAGCCCTTGAATTGTATATCTTTGTATACATTTTCACACATTCTAAAAAGTACAGAGAACTTTCATGCCAAACATGAAATACAAAAAACATACAACCACATATCTATAGTATTTATTTCTTTATCAACACTATACCCTCTCCTCCGTGCATACACATCCAAAGTTGAATAATTAAAAACTCAACCTCCATATCAAAACCAACACACACGTTTAGCTGCTATAAATCAGAGATTCTAATTATAAATCACAGGCATTTGTGAGCACAGTGTAACCAACCGTTCCACTCAAATACTAATGATATGCATCCGGTACGGCAAACACAATGTTGTATACACACTATTGTATGTACATAGTATACAAAACTTTGTTTATACATTGTATACAAAACTTTGTTTATACATTGTATACAAAACTTTGTTTATACATTGTTTACAAAACTTTGTAACATGCATTGAATACAAAACTTTGTATTTGTATTCGTTATATACAAAACTTTGTATACAAATAACATACTAATGTTGTACAATTTCTTAACGTGATTTCTTAACTAATGTTTCGAGACCTCCAGCACCTTTCAATTATAATTCGATACACATTTTTCTATTTCATTAATGGATGGATAGATGGATGGATAGATGGATGGATGGATGGATGGATGGATGGATGGATGGATGGATGGATGGATGGATGAATGAACGGATGGATGGATGATAAAATAAATAAACAAGCAATTAATTTAAAAAATGAAAAAATTAATATATG